TGGTGACGTAAGTGAATTTAAGGCCAGTAAAGGTTGGTTTGAGAAATTTAAGAATCGTAGTGGCATACATAGTGTGATAAGGCATGGTGAGGCTGCTAGTTCAGACCAAAATGCAGCTGAAAAATATGTGCAGGAATTCAAGGAGTACATAGACAGTGAAGAATTGAAACCTGAACAAGTGTTTAATTGTGACACTGACAATGTTGTGAAACACTTTAGGAATGTCATAAAGGAACGGGAGGTACAGGCCTCTATGGACAGATATGTTGTGCAACAGGTCCAGTGACTCTCAAGCTGGTCCTAGTGGCATTAAAAGAAGAAGGGAAGTAACCCCAGAAAAGGACTTGACACCTCAAGTCCTAATGGAAGGGTAATCCCCTATTCCCCTTCTAAACACTAACACCATCCACACTCTCCCCTCATCCCATCCCATCAATCATCACCAGATCTTCAATAAAGGTAAGTGTCATGTAATTGTACATGTCTTCTCCAGTTTGTATGTATTAAAATTAATATTTCATGTGGCAAAAATTTTTTTTTTCAATACTTTTGGGTGTCTTGCACGGATTAATTTGATTTCCGTTATTTCTTATGGGGAAAATTAACTCGACTAACGATAATTTCGATAAGCTCTCAGGAACGGATTAATATCGTTGGTCGAGGGTCCACTGTATTATCCTAGACTGTAAAGGCCTTTATGTAAAAGCTACCCCACACTAGAACATGTAGTGAGAACCTTACTATCAACATATAAGGGGCAACAACATAACAGTTCCAGAGATGGGACACAGAAACAAGGGGTCACAATTGGAAGTTGAAGACTCAGATGAGTCAAAGGGATGTTAGTATTTCTTCAGTCATAGGAAGTGGAATAGCCTAGAAAGTGATGTAGTGGAGGCAGGAACCATACATAGATCTATGTTAAGGGGTTAAGGAGGTGCAGGGTTACTAAAAATATTTTCCAGAAAGCTGAGGAGGGGACACTAAGATGGTTTGGACATTTATGGAGGATAGAGAAGAACAGGATGACTTGGAGGGTGTATAAATCTGTAGTGGAGGGAAGGAGGGAAAGGGCCATCCAATGAAACGTTAGGAGGAGGGGTAAAGAAGGTTCTGTGTGTGAAGGGCTCGGACATCCAACAGGCATGTCTCAGCATGTTATATAGGAGTAAGTGGAGCCAAGTAATTCTTATGATTTGACGTGTTCTTGGAGTGCGAGTAAAGTAAAACTCATGAACGGATTCAGGGAAACCAGTTAGCCAGACCTGAATCCTGAAGGTTGGAAGTACAGTGCCTGAATTCTGAATGAGGAGTGGGGATATCTGCAATTTGGAGGGGCATGTGAACTGTAGCATCAGCACACCTTTGGCAAGACAGTGATAGAGTGAGTGATGGTGAAAGTGCTTTTTTCTTTTTCAGGTCACCCTACCTCAGTGAGAGATGGTTGGTGTGCTAAAAAAAATTTTTAACAATACTAATTTATATTTTAATAAAATATTACTTTGATTATAAACTAGCTACAGTATTTATAAATTCATATCTAATGACTCAAACATAACACAACATACAATCTCCTTGATAACTAGGTGAAAATTTTAAGACTATAATCATGCATCTAATCTTCAATATGCAAGCTTTCAAAAGAGAAAAGGGTGAGTTTTGAGAACAAACCATTCATAATTTCACACATAAAGGCTCATACTTCTTAAGGAAAAAAATACTGTAATGAAATCATGAGGAGAATGTCTAATCCTAACATATAATAAGAACGAACAATGCTTTTCTTAGCAACATAAAGACAAAAAAAAACATCAATAATACTGAAAACCAATTTTAGAAGAACTTATTTTTCTTTAACACACTGGCCGTTTCCCACCAAGGCAGGGTGGCCCGAAAAAGCAAAAACATTAATCATTCACTCCATCACTGTCTTGCCAGAGGCATGCCTACACTACAGTTACAAAACTGCAATATTAACACCATCTCCAGGAATCGAGTCCGGCCTGCCGGTTTCCCTGAATCCCTTCATAAATGTTACCCTGCTTACACTCCAATAGCAATGTCAAGTCCTAAAAACCGTTTGTCTCCATTCGCTCCTAAAACGTTCACACACACTTGCTGGAAGTCCGAGCCCCTCCCACACAAAACCTCCTTTACCCCCTCCATCCACCCTTTCCTAGGCTAACCCCTACCCTGCCTTCCCTCCACTACAGATATGTATACTCTCAAATCTCTACATGTCCAAACCATCTCAATAACCCCTCCTCAACCCTCTGGATAATAGTTTTGGTAATCCCACACCTCCTAATCTCCAAACTATGGATTCTCTGCATTATATTCGCACCACACACTGCCCTCAGACATGACATCTCCACTGCCTCTAGCCTTCTCCTTGTTGCAACATTCACAACCCATGCCTCACACCTATACAAAAGTATTGGTATAACTATACTCTCATACATTCCCCTCTTTGCTTTCATGGATAAAGTTCTTGGTCTCCACAGACTCCTCAGTGCACCACTCACCTTTTTCTCCTCATCAATCCTATGATTCACTTTATCCTTCATAGACGCATTTGCTGACACGTCCACTCCCAAATATCTGAACACATTCACCTCCTCCATACTCTCTCCCTCCAATCTTCTGTTACCTAATTTTTTTGTTATCCTCATCACCTTACTCTTTCCTATATTCACTTTTAACTTCTTTCTTTTACATACCCTACCAAACTCACCAACCAACCTCTGCAATTTCTCTTCATAATCTCCCAAAAGCACAGTGTCATTTGCAAAGAGCAACTGTGACAACTCTCACTGTGTGTTAGATTCTTTATAAATAACAAAAATATGGCACAATACTTTGACTGGAACAATACACAAATAACCTGCACATAGAAGAGAGGAGCTTACGATGGAGTTTACGATTCTGTAAATGGTCCAAGTCATACCAAAACTTCATCATAAGCTCCTCACTTCTATCTGCGGGTTATCTGTGTTTAGACTACCTTTTAACCCCACACCTCTTGCCAACACCCGAGCATTCACTTCTCTTAGTACTCCATCTATAAATATATTGAACAACCATGGTGACATTACACATCCCTGTCTAAGGCCTACTTTTACTAGGAAATAATCCCCCTCTCGCCTACATACTCTAACCTGAGCCTCACTATCCTTGCTGCCTTCAATAAACTACCTCCTATTCCATACATTTGCAACATCTGTCACACTGCCCCCCTATCCACCCTATCATATGCCTTTTCCAAATCCATAAATGCCACAAAAACCTCTTTACTCTTATCTAAATATTGCTCACCTATGTGTTTCACTGCAAACACTTGGTCTGCACACCCCTTACCTTTCCTAAAGCCTCCTTGCTCATCTGCTATCCTACTCTCCATCTTACTCATAATTCTATCACTAAAAACTCTACCATACACTTTACCAGGTATACTCAACAGACTTATTCCCCTAGAGTAGGCTGATAAACAGCATCCACCCAGGGAGGCACTACCATCCTACCAAATGAGTGTGAAACATATGCCTGTAATTGTTTTGCATGATGGTAGGATTGCTGGTGTCTTTATCTGTCTCATAAACATGCAAGGTTGCAGGTATATCTTGCTATGTCTACTTACACTTAGGACACACTATTTATTTATTTATTTATTTTATGTCTTTGCAAACAGTACATTGAGATTTTGTATTTACAATTGTGGGTTGCAATGCAAAGAGAGCTTCTATTATGCCTAGGCATTATGGGCCAACTTAACATTATTGGCTTACAGACTACTTAACATTAAGGATTATATCATAGTTGTACAGTAGGACAGTAATTATTTCATAGTTGTACAGTAGATTATTAATTATAAGTGCATCAAATTTGTATAAGACAAAAGATATATTCATATATTCAAAAATGCTCTTTGTGAAAACAATGATTCAATTATATTCCTGTCAACAATGGATAAAAGGTTCAAAGTGATTGTTGAAGTTATGATGTGGGAGTACATAAGTGAGTATGTGTGTACTGAGTATTTAGCGTTTAGTCTAGGGTGATTAAGTGGCTTTTGAGAAGAGTCTTAAATTGATTTTCAGACCAGGTTACTTTAATATCTTCTGGTAATGAATTCCAAATTTTGGGGCCCTTTATGTGCATAGAGTTTTTACACAGTGTGATATGGACATGAGGTATATCAAAAAGAGATCTGTGTCTTGTGCTGTGGTCATGTGTCCTGTTTAGGTTGGTGAGGAGAAGTTTGAGTGGAGGGTTTATATTTGTGTGTATTGTTCTGTGTATGTAGTAGGCACATGAATAAATATGGATGTTCTTAAAGGTGAGCAGATTCAGACTTTTGAAAATTGGTGGAGTATGCTGGTGGGAGTGGGAATTTGTTATCATTCTTATTGCTGCCTTTTGCTGGGTTATTAGGGGTTTTAGGTGATTGGATGTTGTTGATCCCCATGCACAAATTCCATATGTAAGATAAAGGTATATGAGTGAATGGTACAGTGTCAGGAGAGCTGATTGTGGAACGTAGTACCTTATCTTTGATAGTATGTTTACAGTCTTGGAGATTTTCTTGGTGATTTATTGTATGTGTGTCTGGAACTTAAGGCTACTGTCAAGGTGGATACCTAGGAATTTTCCCTCTGTGAGTCTTGTGACTGATGATCCATTTAGCATTATGTTAATTGGATCATTTGCAGCTTTCTTACACATGCATGTACAAGCATAGTTCTTTTTCTTGTTTATTTCTGCTTTATTTCTACTTCTGGGGAAGTGGAACAGAATTCTTCCTCCATAAGCTATGCATGTCATAGGAGGCAATTAGATGCCGGGAGCAATGAGCTAGTAACCCCTTCTCCTGTATAAATTACTAAAAAGAAGAACTTAAACTACTATAATTATTAAGAATTCTACAAGGACAGTACCAAGGAAGTATGACATGGTCAACAATTACTGCACTTCTATTTCACTCAGATGAAGGGAAGTCCTACCTTAGAGGTCTGAGGGCACGCAGGAGACGGAAGACTCTGAGAATACCAAAGATGCGTGGTGAAGTGGTGGCCAGAACAGACATGAGAGCATCTATGAAAGATATGATGACCAGTGACCCATCCATGATATTCCAGCCAGAGCTGAAGTAGGCACCTTTCCCATACAATAGACCCTGTGCAATAACCTAAGGGCAAGACAAATTCATTAGACATGTAGAAAAATAATAAGTAATTTCATGTATCAAGAAGAAAGATATTTAGCAGACCTATGAAACATGCAGTAATGCCGTAAGTTACATGGTTACCCCTGGAAAACAGTGTGGAAATAAGAAGAACATAAATAATGTTAAGGGTCAAGGAGTAAAATATCTACAAAGATTAAATGTGAATGATGGTGAAAGTGTTTCTTTTTTGGTGGGATACAGTGGGTTTGTTTGAAAAAAAAAAATGATAAAGGTACATATGATGTATAAAAATGGAAGGTCAAGAGATAATGTAGTGGAAATGTTCTGACAAAATATAAGGCAGTGAAACAAAGAGAAACAAGAATTTTCAGGAGATATTCATACCAATGTAAAGAAAATCTAAAATGCAACTAAAACCTTAACACATAGTACATTATTTAAGATACTGCAATACTTAACCCAATGATAAATGAAGGAGCATCTACAGCAGTGACAGGCAATATCATTTTAACCCTTTCAGGGTTGGTGCCATACTAGTATGGCTTGCACGCCAGGGTTGGTGGCGTACTAGTACGCATAAATTCTAGCGCCTTCAAATCTAGCGAGAGAAAGCTGGAAGGCCTACATATGAAAGAATGGGTCTATGTGGTCAGTGTGCACAGTATAAAAAAATCCTGCAGCACAGTGCATAATGAGGAAAAAAAAACGCCGACCGTGTTTTTGGTTTAAAGCAGCGACTTTGCAGTGGATTTTCGTATGCTATTTATTGTTGTATTCTAGTTTTCCTGGTCTCATTTTATAGAATGGAAGACATATTATGGAAATTGAGATGATTTTGATTGGTTTCACAAAGAAAAGTACCTTGAAATTGAGCTCAAAATAGCAGAAATGTTCGATTTTTCCAAAGTTCAAAGGTAAACAAATCATGCCACGCATCCAATACATGTCAACTGGTGAGTCTAATATTCTTTCACAAGTGCGCTGATATTATTTATACCATTTCTACACCATTTCTTCACGAATCCAGTAGTCTGCATAACATAAATCTTTTATTATTTTGTGAGAATAAAAATTTGAAGTGGAAAGCAAAAGAAATGTAACAGAGGCCTAGGGACATGAGTAATGAACAGGGAAAATGTTATTTTAGTGCCAGGAATGTCTGTCTTGTTTATTCTGTACCCTATTTGGAAATTGGTATCTTTTGAAGCTTGTGAAATTGGCAAAATTGCCAATTTCAGACCATGTTATTGGTTAGATGAAATCAGTAAATGGGTGGTTTCTTGTACTCATTCGATAGACAAAATAGAGTTCTAACGAAATAGGTATGATTTTTGTCGACTGGTACATTGGAATTGGCCGATAATAGGGCTCAAAATGGGCAAAATCGCCGATGCGTAAACATCGTCGAGACCGCTAACTTCGCAAGAGCATAATTCTGTAAGTTTTCCATCAAATTTCATACTTTTGCTGTCATTATGACCGGGAAAAGATTCTCTATCATTTCATAAGAAAAAATAATTATTTTTTTTTTTTCGAAAAATTTCCGACCCTGAGAACAAGTTTAGGAGAGGTCCCGCCGACTTTGAAAGGGTTAAGCAATGGAGCTACAGTAGTGAGAAGTAAAAATAAAAGAGAACATTTTCTGACTTTGAGAATCACCAAACTAAGATTATTATTGATGTATTAACTTATATACCACAAATCTGAAAACTAAAGTTTGACCAATGTTTACATAGTCCTAAAAAGGGAAGCTTATATTCAGCTTGCTTTGCTTTATTTGAGTTAATATTCTCAGGTCTTTTATCTACCCAACAAATACTACATGGTATAGCTTGATTAGGAAAAAATATATTATCACTGTTATGAGTTAGTTAAAAATTTCAGGTGACTCAGCTATATACAGTATGCTCATTTGCCCAAATCATATTTAGCTGGAATTATTTGCAACTTTTTATATCTGTTCAAGATATATTTATCACAAACCTTTATTATCATCTCCAAGCCAAACACCACAGTAAATATATAGTTGAAGATCATGAGGACCTGCCGTTCAATGGAGTCAGGAGGAATGTTGGGCCTCTCCATGGCTAGAGTGATGCAGTTGAGACCAATAAAGAAAAGCACAGAGGAGTCAAACCATCGTCTGGAGACCAAGAATAAGCAGATGCGACGTATCCTGAAGGGAAGAACGAAGAAAAAGGGAAGGTTAAACCTTTATGAGATTGCAATACAGTGTAGTGCCTGTGCTCTGAAGGAGGGGTTGGGATGGTGTAGCTGGAGGGTAATCTGACTATGATATACATATATTCTTCTTTCAACAAACTGGCCTCATCCCACCGAGGCAGGGTGGCCCAAAAAAGAAAAACGAAAGTTTCTCTTTTTAAATTTAATATTTTATACAGGAGAAGGGGTTACTAGCCATTTGCTCCCAGCATTTTAGTCACCTCTTATGACACTCATAGCTAAGAGAGGAAGAATTCTGTTCCACTTTCCCATGGAGATAAGAGGAAATAAACAAGAACAAGAACTAGTAAGGAAATAGAAGAAAACCCAGAGGGATGTGTGTGTGTATATATGCTTGTCTATGCATGTGCAGTGTGACCTAAGTGTAAGTAGTACTAGCAACATGTACCTGAAATCTTGCATAATCTATGTACATATATACATATAAGAACTGAGTGCATTATTTACAATTATGTACATGTATACCAGAAGATAAGAATATCATTCAGTCCAGAACATGCTTCTCCTATTTCTAACTTTCAAAAAAAATAAAACAGAGGATAATAGTGTTGGATAAACTTAAGTAGTGAGAGTGTTAGCATTATTAAAATTGCATATTATTGGTAAATTTAGAGTGTGGTACTGTAAAAAATTACATCTAGTGTTTTATTAATGAGCAGATTCCAATTTATGCCTTTTATTATTGGTAGTTATGGTTCAAAACAAATGACTTGTTGCTGTAAGGGGGAAGATGTGGCAGGGAGAGGGGAGGGTGGAGGAATGTGGACACAGGCTTTACTGTCACATTCATGTTATTCATAATGCCAGCACGCCTCACAGAGTGACACTGTACACTCAAAGTTGTTTGTTCAAAATTTAAGTTGCCAGTGAATCTGTGGCACCTATGAGTAAAATCAAAGAAATAATTCTCAGTGAGCTATACTTCATTTTATTGCTTTGTATTGTAATTTAATTAAATAATTTCACTAACCTTGAAAGAACTATACAATATCTTTTCCTTTATTATTTTATAAATTAACTTGAAACTTTTATCTATTTTAAAGTTCCTATTAACCCTTTCAGTGTTGTAACCCCCAGAAATTAAAAGTACAGTGGAACCTCAAAAATCGAACTGCTCCCAACACAACCAATTATGTAAGTGTATTTTTGTAAGTGCTTTTATAAGTGTATTTTTGAGGGTCTGAAATGGACTAATCTAATTTACATTATTCCTGATGGGAATAAATTCATTCGGTAAAGGCACTCGAACAGCCTTCTGGACCGAAAAAAGTTCGACATTTGAGGTTCCACTGTAGTGACATGTTTCAGTATTTATCAAGATATGGAGGTGTGAAGTTAAAGATCACTGACCCACTGATGGCAACATCAGCAATTGCCCCATGCTCCATATTACTTTATTTACTAATATTTACACTTTTTTTCTGGAGTTTTCTAATTATTTACATTTTCCAGTAGCTGTTGTGGCCATGAACACCCACATCATGCACATAGGGCTAGCCAATGTAAGCAACACAATACCCCCATTTACAATGTTTACAAAACATTTATATATAACAAAGTATACACACACACACACCCAACTGCTACACATTATTACTGTTCTAACATCATTTTATTATTAATATTAACACATCGGCCATTTCCCACCAAGGCAGAGTGGCCCGAAAAAGAAAAACTTTCATCATTCACTCCATCAAAGTCTTGCCAGAAGCATGCTTACACTATAGTCATAAAACTGCAACGTTAACACCCCTCCTTCAGAGTGCCGGCACTGTACTTCTCATCTCCAGGAATCAAGTCTGGCCTGCCGGTTTCCCTGAATCCCTGCATAAATGTTACTTTGCTTACACTGCAACAGCACGTCAAGTCCTAAAAACCATTTGTCTCCATTTGCTCCTATCTAACATGCTCATGCATGCCTGCTGGAAGTCCAAGCCCCTCACAAACAAAACCTCTTTTACCCCCTCCCTCCAACCTTTCCTAGGCTGACCCCTACCCTGCCTTCCCTCCACTACAGATTTATACACTCTCAAAGTTATTCTATTTTGTTCCACCCTCTCTACATGCCCAAACCATCTCAATAACCCCTCCTCAGCCCTCTGGATAATAGCTTTGTTAATCCCACACCTCCTCCTAATCTCCAAGCTATGGATTCTCTGCATTATATTCACACCACACATTGCCCTCATACATGACATCTCCACTGCCTCCAGACAGTGATCATGTTCCTAGAATGGTTGCAACCTATGGAAGTCCCTGAAACATGGTTCCACACACACACACACACGTACGTTTTACATTCCCTACGCATTTAGCACCGGTCCCTGTGCTTTGTTGGGCATCTTATCATACTTCATCATACTTCAAACTCAAGAGTATTTGGTGATCAGTACAGTGGCATGTTTGTTGTGACCTGCTATTTCTGCATTATTTGTCTGATGACACTCAAACTGAAGTTAGCATATTGCAGTCTGTTGCCAATCTTGATCTGGTACATACTGAATGCATTCAGCACTGCAATGACCACAAGTAACCACTAGTAACTCTTGGAGATAAAATCAATAAATCCAATCTGCAGGTCACATTTGTCCCTCAATGTATATTGGTAGTGTAATCCATAAGATCAGCTAGTCTTACAATGCGTTCACTGGCATCTCTATTCACCTTTCCTGTCTTTCACTTCATGCTGGTGGAGTGATCCCAACATGTCAAATCAAGTTTGTCTTGTCACAGGGAACAGGCGGCAGTGGCAGTGGCATACAAGCTGTGTCATTCTCTCGCCAGCCAGAGCCCACGTAGAACCCAGAATGACCCAAGAATACCAACAGTGATACCTACAACTCGAGAAATTGACAATCAGAAGAAGACTGCCTTCCAAACCCAAAGCACTGCCCCACTGCCAGACACTCACTCACCCCAAGCTCTGAACAAATAAAGCTTCTCCATCTTAACTACAACAACTCCTTTACTACTATGAGATCAAATCACAGAAGAAACAACAAGAACAGCAAGAAAGCACCAAGAAATCGACTATTCAACTTGTCTACCCAGCAGAACACTGGTGCTTCCACCCCCTTATCACTGCCCAGGGCAATGCATCAACAACACCAAACATGGCTGATTCCCCCTTAAACTCCTCTTCCTTCACAGGATTTGGCACCCCAGTTACTCTCCCAGGTATAACCAACGATCCTGACACTCAAGTCATACATCACCACCCTAACTGCAGATAACACGTATCTTCATACTGAAAATACGAATCTTCGTGCAATACTAATGAAACATGAAGCCAAGTTAGCCCACTTTGAAAGCAAGATCCTCAGCCTTGAACAGCAATTGACGACAGCTGGAATGACCGATTTTGGCAAAACCCTCCAAACAGTTATAGCGAGCCACACACAACAAATAACATCCCTAAACACAAAGGTTGAGGATGTGGTTATGGACTGGAAAAACAACATGGATACCCAGTTGAACGAATACTTTGCTTACCAAGACAATAAAACCAAGCAAGAAAAGATAACAGACTCAGTAATAATTAGCAGTTCACTCTTTCCTAGTGAAATAAACCAAACCAACTGCAAAGATACTACTATTCAGATCATAAAAGACCAACAAAACGTTATAGTATCAGTGTCAGAAACAAAGGAAATGCAGTTACTAGGGAAACAAGGTTCAAAACATAGTGTTATATTTAGATTTCAAAAACATGACAGAAAAAAAAAGATTTAATCAGTTCATCAATTAAAGCTAAAAAAGATGTACAGTAGGGCCCCACATTACGGCGTTTTGCCTTATGGTGTCCAGCAAATACGGCAAATTCAATTATGACCAAAATTTGCTATACGGCTAGCGGTTTTTCAAATACGGTGCACCCCACCTGGTTTGTGTACATCCTCTGTGAGCACAACTCTCTTATGTCAGGAAATTTTCCAAAATTTCAAGTGTTTTAAAGTTATTGCATATTTTATATGTAATCTGATAATTATACTTATGTGTACCTGTACCTAAATATACTGACACACTGTGCTAGCATGCAGGTACACATTAAAATCACTAAGAGTCTCTCTACTCAATGCCATATAATCTCTTGGGTGCACTAAATGTCGTATATTACGTTAATATAGACATTTCCATTAATCCATCTGTGATATTTTTTCAAAGTTATATAATAAACATGCTACGTAACATATAAACATGATACCTACACCCACAGTATAAAAACTGACATAAATATGAAATTTGTTTACCAAGCATTTGGTAGCAGCGCTGAAGAATTACGTTTTCTCTAGCCGAACACCAGTAACTTAACTAGAAATTTATTCCTTTCGTATGTCTTCACTCTATCTATAGCTATTCACGACCCTTGTGGGTTTATCGCTTCTTTTTTATTATGATTATAATTGTGGAAACTTATTCAGTCCTAAAATTCCGCAAGGCAAATACGTTGTATGAAGGCCCTAATATTTCCCGGACGGACAGTCTGCATTTGGCGGACCCTCACATCTACCCAAAACACATACATACACCCAGGATGGAGAAGGTGGTTGGAAGGTACATTTTAATTGATAGATTTATCCTTCAAGGAAGAGGTAGGTAGTTTATACATTATTATACCTGCAACTGCAGGTAATAATAATGTAGACCTAAGACCCTAACTTAGGTAATAACAGGCAGGTAATATTGGCAAACACTAGGTCATATTAGCCAGTGAGAGCTGGCAGCCTCAAGTTCTACAACAAGATGGCAAACTTGACACACTGCTGTGACCAGCAGGGCAGCACCCCCACGTGTCTTCACATACTAGACCTGGGGAAATCTGGTGGAGGCACCTTGAAGTACCGTAGATGCCCTCCTCCATCAGGCCCATACAGTAAGACAAGACCTCCCTTTTTTTCTCAGTATTCTGGCGAGTTTCTGGGGGAAATCATG